TTCCTCTAATGTAGCTGCCTTGAGCTCAGCTGTCCCCACCTCAGTGCAGCTCCAGTCTGCTGTTCTCCTCTCCTTAAGTATCAGGGGCTTTGGTCCCATTACAATGTAGCGATCAGAAATGGGTGCCTTCCAGTGTGACCTCTTTACCTCAGTTTCCCTAGCAAACCCAGGTGATGTAAATGCAGCCCAAAGGGAAAGGAGCGTAAAGATGATGTTATGTCCTTTTTGCAGTGTCGTGGGGGGGGGAAGGCTATGGTCCCCGGGGTGCAGGCCTGGCGGGGGCACTGGCTGGGCGGCCAGGCCATAGGCGGATTAATGCATGGGCAAACTGGGCACACGTGGCCGGGGCCCATTTCAATTTGGGGCCCCGGGATCCTCACCAGCAGGGAAGTGAAAGCCACAGTTTAAACTCGGTGCCCATTTTTGGCACCAAATTTAAAACTGCGGCTTTCACATTTGCTTCCCTAGGAACTGGAAGCAGGGCCCCCTCCTTCACCAATGGGGCTGGGGAGCAGGGCTGGGGTCTTGCCTGAAGAGCTGTGCCTGCAGGCCAGATGGCGCCACGTCTGGCGGGGAGGGGGCTGAGCCGGGCTGGGAGAGTCATGCCCTACCTGGAAGGCGGGCAGGGGCACGGTTGGGGCTGGGTGGGGGCAGTGAGACCACACTGGTTTTGCTGCTGTGCTCTGCCAGTGCTTTTACTACCCATCCCCCCACCGCTGGGTCTGCCATCGGGTGCTGGGGGACCCCCTACCCCTCTCTGCAATGAGGGGGGTATGCCACTGCCTTTGTGCTTTCTGGATCCTGTGCAATTATAGGGCTGAAATATTCCCCCAGCTGCTCCACCTTCTGCAAGCTTGTCTCAGGTTTTCTGGGATGCATTTCAGCTCGGAACTCCCCAGAAATGGGGAAGAACAGTTCAACATTAGGGCGAGACTCTGACAGAGTTTCCTGCCCTCCTGCAGATTTCCTGTATAATTGGACTAACTTGCTTTAGGCTTGTCTTCACAGATGAGCTAGCATGTAACAATTTACAATGCATTGGCCAAGAGTGACTTTAGGTAAGGAGTAAGAACCTTATGCTTGCTTTAAGGTAGGTAGTAGTGTACTACCTACTTTATCGTGGAGTAACTTCCACATCTAGACAAGCCCTAACTAAGACTGTAGTCATGACCTCACCCTTCCTGCCCCCAATCCCTCCCCAGCACATAGTCTACATGGAGACTTATAAAGGGGACAATGTAGAGCTTGTTCAGTCAGCCCTATGCTGTTCATGTGCCAGAAAATGTTCCTCTGGCCTCTTGTAGCTCCTGCACTCTTTGTATACTGCCAATGGCTAGCTCAGCATCTTGAAGTTGTCACTGATGTATCTACTGTCTGTTCAGTGGATGAAGTGTCTGTCTTCTGTATATTTGAGCTAAAATGTAAAAAGATATTATGCTCTGACTCTTTCTTTTGGTTTCTAGAATGAATACAGCAGAGACTTGAATAGGAAGAAATAGAATCACAGTGAAACCTTTTAAGACTTGCCCCTGGGAACTGGGGATACTCATCATCTTTGCAAGTTAGGTTGCTTCTATTACACACCTAAAATATGAATTGAAGCACTCAGGGATGACTTGTATTTTTTGCCTGTATGAGATTAGAGGTGGCTTTCAGATCAGTTCCTAGCACGTAGGTGTCCCAGGAAATCAGCATTCTCTGTAGAGGTCAAGGATTGGGTGAGTCTGAACTCCACCTTGTTCCTCCATTTATTGTGGCGAATCCTAGATCTATAGTTTAGGTTGCACTCTGCCAGTGCTATACAACCCTCTTTCACATTCTTTTAATTTTGGCTTGAAAAACTGGTTTGGCTTTCAAATCTGCCAAGCTTTCTCCAGAGACAATGGAGACTATTCTGTAGTCTAGGGAAAGTATGTCAGTGCTTTCATCACCAGTCATTGAAAATTTAGCTTAGTTTGAACGTTGTATTTGTAGCTCCAGAGTAAGTCATGGGATGAGTGGATACTCAGCAGGCATGCCTACATGTTCCTTAATGTGCCATAATTTAGCTCCTGTAACAGCAGGTACTAAATGCACTGTAAATGGCACTACTGCACATTAGCTCAGATGAATGCTTTTTGTGCGATGCTTAATGCCCATTGGGCTAATCTACTGCGCATTAGCAGTTTTTGCCAGAGGTGCTAATGCACAGTAGAATTAGTCCAATGGGCATTAAGTGTCTTGTGTAGACAGGCCCAGCATCTCTGAAAATTTGACTCCTGATGTTTTGACTTGTGGGCTTTCCTTATCTGCCTTTTTTGTCACTCCTTTTAAACACCTCCTTTCTACATAATATCCACTCTCCTCTCCCATGTTTTCAAATTAAAAAAACAAAACACCTAATCATGTAAAATAGTCATTCACCTGAGAGTAACTGGCATGAAGGGCTGAACAGACTAGTTATGTGCAGCACAAGAGCTAAATTGTTTGTTCAGGGCAAATGGAATAAATAACATACAATTCTACTTTGGTTCTGCTATTTCTCTTCCAAACCTCTCTCCACAAACACTGCCATCAAGCACTGAAGAGAATTGTGCATTCATACTTAGAAAATTAATTGATGAACCCCTTGTTGGAAATTAGGGGAACAAAAATCAGGGAGAAAAAGGAAAGGGACACATTTCAAAGTTATCAAAGATGACCTTATGAAGAATGTCTTGCTCTTCTAACTCTATCCCAATTACGGAGTTGATCCAATAAAAGATATCATCCTAAGAAATCCTTGCCTCTTGGACCATCACAGCTACATCACTCTAACACTATGAAAGTTATTAAAGGCATGAATTCCTCCTCTGCTAGAATAGTCTCTCTTCCATTCTTTAGGATCTGTTTCTTGACTTGGTTCTGGTAGATGTGATTCCTGTCTTGAAATGAGTGCACAAGTAGTATTCTATGGACTCCTGCTACATTCATCAGGACTTCCGATTTTACAAACAGAGGAGAGATACAAAAAAGGATTAAACTTGTTTATACCATTTTATGTTGCAAAGGTCCTGTTACTTCCCTCTTAATCTACCAGCTTGATTTTAGTGATATAATGTGAAACTTCTGAAATGCATTTACGTATTGCCCAGATCCAGGGGCAACCTTTCAGTGAAAAGTTTTGTTACAAAGTTTTTACAGTACTCTTAAAGGGCTCTAAATGTAGACTAGTTTTATTTTGGGGCAGCAAAGCTGAATAATCATGAAGCGTATTGCTACAAGCTATACTTTTTTCCAAATTATTTTGAAAATGTAAGTGTTATTGCATGTTCTATAGATTAAAAGAAACCAAATCGGCAGTTAACATCCATCTCAGTCCTCATCCCTACAGTATGTAAATCATGACACTCCTGTAACAGCGCTCCCATTTCATAACTGACATTTACTTGCCCAGTATACTATTACAGCAGAATAAGTCAGAGTACAAGAGTCGCTGGTGAGTAAATATAGCTTTTCAAGACGACTTGCAACCCTCACAGACAAGGTCATGTATATTTAATACCTATATTGAATGGAGGCACCTTTTAAGTAGTCGGTCACTGGTATCATAGTTCCTTATGTTCATAGACACTGTGATAAACTAATTTAACTTACTGAGAGGAAGCAGTAATGGGAAATGGATATGCAATGTCTGACAAGTTAATAGCATAATTTTCTCTCTGCTGCATTTCCATTTAATGTTGGGTCTGCTTTACTAATAAACTGAAACAAACTAAACATTTTACTACTTCTCTTTTAACTTTTCCTGAGGGTACAGGCAGGTCATAGTCAGCTTCTTTATGTCAGCCTATGCTAGGGATAAGTTAATCTGCCCCTAAGAAACCAAAACAAAGGTTCATTCCCCCAGAAAATGTTTTTATTTAGGCATTCCTAACACCCAGAATGTTCCCTTAAATGTAAAGGACAGAAAAGTGGCTTATAATTCAGAGCAAGTGTAAATCAGTTATTAACAATGCAGAATACCAAGGAAAAATACCAAATTTTTAATTTCAGTCTAAGCAAAGAGCCCCATACAGGATTAAAACCACAAGTGTGTGCTTTAAACCCCACGAATCCACAGGGCTGAACTTTACCTAACAAGTTTCTCCTTAGTAAAGCATTCCCAGCATGAGATGGAAATGCAGCAGAAAGAAAATGATTTTATTAACTTGTCAGGTATTGCATATCCATTTCCCATTATTGCCCTCTCTCAATAAATGTTCACACTAATGTGTTTTCTTCAAATCTTATACAGCTTGTATAAATGTCAATTTACCTTTCTGAATGGAAAATAACTTTCATATCCAGTACATTGTAATTACAAAGGATAGCTCATGTACAGTATTTCTAGGCGTAAAGTACTAAGACAGATGAAAGTAAATTAATGTATTGTCTTGGTAGCGGTATTTTACCTCTGTCTTATTAAAGATGTATTGTAATCCACATTTTTTATTAGTGTTCAGTGGTATTTATAGCATAGATTCTGCTTTCTGGATATACAGCAGAAACAGAGACAACACAATAAATATAAAAAGCTTGACATTTTAATAGTAAAGCATACAGCACTAAAATATTCAAATAAACAATGTCACTTCAAGACTACCACAAACAAACAGGATCATTCCTGTGATGCCAGTTTTATAGCTGGCACTTTGCAAACACCCAGAAAAATAAGGTCTTGGTCCATCAGTAACTAATGATTTCAATTAGGTAAGCACAACAAAAACATAAGGCTCAGGTGGGGGCAGTGGCAATATGTAGGGGGTGCACATGCATTCCCTGAGAGCGCCAGTGCACCCCCTAAGCGGTGAGCGCAGCTGGTCAGGCAATGGGCAGGGGGGGCTGGCAGGAGCACTGGTGCCCCCCCTGCAAGTGCCAGCCGGGGAGTGGAGTGCCATTGTGCTCCCAGAGGTGGCTGGAGCCACTTCTGGAAGTGGCTGCAGCGATCAGCTGCAGCAATTGGTCACTGGGAGATCCCCCGCCCCCGGCTCTGGTCAGCAACATCAGCCGGGGGTAGAACCCCCCTGGTTGCTGACTGGTCTAAGATGGCACCAGTCATCCATGGGGAAAGGGAAAAGGCCAGCATAAGTGTGTGCTTTAAGTAGGTGGCCACAAGAGAAAGAGATGGCAGCTGGTACACATGGAAGAGGAAGCTGCATGAAGTCAATCTTAAGAGAGGGAGACAAAGGAAACTTTAAGGAGGAAAAAAAAAGCATATTATACAAAAGGTGGTATAAAAGGAAAACGGAGATCCTCAGCACTGAGTAGAGTACATGCCATGTGAGCTGTATGGATGCCAGGGATTCAAGGGGGTAGTATTCTAAAGAGAAAGAGAAATATTTTGGTTGCAGTGTTTTGGGTAGGCGAGGAAAGGTTGATGTCTACAGGGCAGAGTATGGACAGTTACATTAATCAAGGCAAAAGGTAAGGCCAAAGCCTGTCACTGTGGCAAAGTAACACAAAGAAAGAGTAAGGGACAGATTTTAGAGATGTGGAAGAAGAAACTGGATTTTCCAAAAGCCTGATTTAAAAGAGAAGAGAACTCAAAGTTGGCATCCAGTGAGTAAGATGTTTAAAACAAATGTGTGCTTTTTGACATTAGATCCGTAAGTGGTGGGACATCTAGGTGGATAGTGCTACAGGAGGAAGAGGAAGGTGCAAACTGTGAGATTGTCCAGCTGGCAGGAGGAGAGGCTGTTGGGTTGTTGTTTTTGAGGCACATCTTAGAACCAGTCACTTGCAACTCTGGTCCTTCTTAATGTCTCCTATCTACCATTACGCATACAGCCTGCTAAGTATTTGTGGAAGGGTATAGTAAGATGATTCTTTAGAATAAGCTGAGATACTAATGATTCATTCTTCATATAAAAAATAGTATATGCACATCTGCTGCAGAAGTATGCAGGCCAGGTGATTATTTTATCCCTACTCACTCTCAAGACTTTCTTCACAAGCAAAAGTAGAGTAAAGATACTCACTTTATGTAAATGAAAATATTTATATTTCTAGTTCCCTTAAATCAGAAGTGCTTCTGGCTGTAGACTTTGCAGTCCCAATAAGCCAAGGGTGAAGTCAAGAGTAAATAAGTAGATTTGTGACTCATTGGCCCGAAATCATGGGAGCAAAGCACAAATATGGAACAACTGATCCGCACATATCTTCGTTCTGAAGTCAACAAGATTAATCTATTGGTCTCTACATCACAAAAAATCCTGGTTTAGTTCTTGTTCTATTAGTTCTGAGGCAGAGCTATTTAAAGTAAGACAGAATGAGTGCAATTATATATCCATTCTTCTTGCTCATTCAAAGGCATCACATGCTGACAAACCTGTATGTAAAAAGAAGAAAAAAATGATGTGTGTGTACTGCTTTTTATCATTCTTTCCTTAACTGTTGCAGAATTACACAAGCATGACTTAGGGCCTTGTTACACCTTACACAGTGAGCCGCACACATGTTAATCACTGTTAGTGCTAGCTGGGACTCGGAGCAGTCACACCCGTAATCTAGAACAGAGATATTTGAGAAGGCCTTAGCGGGTACATGCGGGCAGGCGGGGATGAAGTGCTGCCACATCCCATCTTGTGCTGCTGCGCAGGTGCCACTCACCCGGCCAGCTGTGGGGGGGCAGGGGAAGCTTGCACGTGGTGGCTGCTGCTGCTTTGCGTCCAGCCACGTGCCACCTCCCCCCCACTCTGCGTCTACCTGCGTGCCACCCACCCACTCTGCCCCTGCTCGGCGGCCAGGGGTACACTGCTCCGCATCCAGCTGCCAGGGTACAATGAACCAAAAAGGCTGAAAACCCCTGGTCTAGAACAGGGGGTGGCAATGTTTTTGGGTAGAGTGCCAAAAACGCCTGCAACTTCAACTTGTAAGATGCTGGCATGCCAAGGGTGGACAGTAGGGGCCCACTCCTTGTTGTGGCAGTACAGCCTTGGCTCCTTCCCTGCCATCTGACCCAAGGTGTGCATGCCAAGCAAAATGCCTTTGCATACCATGCTCTGACACCTGTGCCAGGGATTGCCTACCCCTGGTCTAGAATCCTTCTCTGACAGTCCCCCACCTGCACAGCTGTGACTTGCCACTAGCTTCCTGGTAAGCTGGGGCAGGACTAGGAGCTGTAGCTGTGAGTTGCCACTAAAGAACCGGTGAGCCAGGACAGCTTTTCTCCCTGCTCTATGGGCAGGGGTGTGAGAGATCCTGGGATACTGGAGGACTTCAACCTGGGCAGCATATCTGTGGGGAGTGGCCACACCTTAATGGAACAGAAGCTGGGCAGTGTGGATCAGAGATAATCCTGCCGTGGAGTGGTGTAACTTTGAGCTACATAACGAGTGCTTAAAACCGCTTTAAGGTGCTAATGTGCAGACAAGCCAGGGATTAAGAGCTCCAGGAGCCACCCAAAATTACCATGTAACAAGGCCTATCTGGATGTGTTAACTATTTCAGTTCTAGTATGCATACTGATAAAGCTCATGGATGAAAAATTTAAACTTCTGTAATAACTACTAGTTTTTATTTTATACTGCACTGAACTACAGTAAAGGAAAGATGCTATAAAGGACTTTCAGCCCAGTGATTCCACTGAAAACTGAGACTAAAAAACACCTTTCATGGCTGGCCTTATATCTGACTGAATAGTGTCAGCAGCAGTATCAGGATTGGCTCTGATCCTGAAATCCACATAGAGCTGTATTTATTTGAACAGTGTTCAGCGTGCAGGAGCCCAAGCACCAATTCTTCACTGAAAACTCAGTGCTGTAGGTTAGATAACAATGAAATAAAATAATTTGAATGGCCTGTGTTTGAAAGTGATATACCACACAATTAACAAATTCCATAGGAGCCTTGTTTCTTAAGTTAATGAACTTAATACAAGCTTTATCATATGAGATTTTTTTTGATTTCACACCTGCTTATTTCAACATTTGCTAAGAACTGTACAACTTCTGGAATTGCCAAGAGACTTAATGCTGTTGAACCATCAATTAAGATGTTAAAAACTCAACCAGCTGCATGCTAGATTGTCCAAACAAGACCGTATATACAGGTATTTTTGTGCAACTACTTGAGGGACAGTCTGTTCTTCATGTTCAGCAGAATGCATCAGATTAAATAGACACCCTCTAGCTAAATTCGGCCCCAAATGAACATTTTATAAAGGAATATTTTTACAAATCCTAGACTAATAGAAAAAATGAAAATGAGAATAGAGATTCTTAAACAAATAAGTATTTATCTACAGGTTTTTTAACCTAAACACTGCAACATCCCAAATCAGGAAGTGAAATTGGTTACACACAAAAATCAAACTGACTTCAATGATATTTAATATCCAAGCTAAACCAACAAACTCAAGACAATTCTTTTTATTGACAATCTGCAAACTTTTTACCAATGACTGAACTTTTTTACTGACACGTTTTACATACTGTAAATGTAACACTTCTTTCAAACCCTGAACAAAGGCCAGTTTTACATTTATGGTTTAACACCAACTATAATAAAAGTTTTGGTTGCCAGTAAAAAGTTTGCAAATTATCAGGAAAAAGTTGCCTTGGGTTTGCAGCCCTGCTTGAATGAAACAATGGTTTTATACCATGCTGCTCCTTACCCCATGAGTCCCCTACTCAACCTGATACTCTGATATCCCTGATCACATCCCATACCATACTGCCTGCCCCCAGCCCATCGCCCCAGACTTATTCCTTCCAGCCCTGCCCCCCTATCCTGGCCCAGAGCCCCAAAGGACCCAGCAGTGTTACATAGCAGTAGCAACAGCATATGCCTGGGTAGGGGAGGGTGCTATGGGGAACAAAGCCTGGAGAGAATGCTTCCTACAGGGTACTGCACTACCACTCAGACAGCAGATGGCACTGGTCTTCTGTCTATCTGTCCTTCAACACTTTGTCTCCAGTTTCTTTTCTCCCCAGAAATCTTCAATCAAGCTCCAGTTGCTAAATTTTTTTGAAGACAGCTCCTCTTTTCTTTTTACAGACTTTATGAACAGGTGTTATTAACACTGTTTTTTTTACAATCTGTCCATAAATTTACAGACAGTTGGCAACTCTGAAAAGCAGCTAGAGGCAACAGTTTTTTAAGTCTTTACTTTTCAATGTTGCTAACGTTATAAACCAACTGATACAAAAATCTGGTTGTTATGTTAACTACATCCCCTTGATGTTGATGTAATGTGCACGTCATTTTACTTCACGTTGCTGCAACAATGCACATCATAAAATAAAATTTGATACCAATCTTTGAGAAGGATATTCATTCAAACTGAATACTCATCCACGTAAAACCTCTCGTCTCTGAAAATAAATACCTGATTAGCGTTTATAAAAATAATTCTGCAATGGTAACTTCATTTTTTACTGACATTAGGAGCTTGCTTTTTTAAAAAATGAGGAAATATTCAAAAGTACTGGTTCAAAATTATTATCTACAATGACAGTAAGCAAATGATTCTGACCTCTCTATAGGGAAGTACCTGCATATTCTAGGTAGGTGCACAACTTTGAAAATCAGGCCCTATGTCTCATGCATTTCCCATGAAGATGTACATTTCCCCTTCTTAATTTGTATTCATATACTCAATATTACTACAAAAAGATCTGAAAAGCAAACTGTTAAGAAGCTAGGAATTTTTACGTAGATTTCAATGAGAGATATGACAACATTACCATCATGGATTTTGGTGCCACTTCTACTGCAAAAATGTTGAGTCCCCTATTATTTATACAATTCTTACTCTGCTCATTGTTGACGTGAATAATCACTTTGTTTTCAGACTGTAAGTGGAAAAAAATTAGATATTTTATTAGTCTTCATGCTTAAATTACTTTTTCAAAAACAACGTCAAGAATCTGATTATTTTCTCTGAAGTTGCTATTATAACAGAATGGAAACTCATTTAAACTTACAGTAAAATTTTCAAGTCCACCTCAGTAATTTCAGGGCCTATGTTCATTTTCAAAGTGCTAGAGGCATGAAGTAAATGAAGATGTGGGCTACAAAGAGACATTACATTTGTCCCAAAAGAAACCATTTTATCTCAGGACAACGTGCAATCATTCAGATGTCCACATCTGTTGTCCTGAAACAAACCCTAAAAAAATTCACAGGATAAAAGTGCTAACAAGTTGCTCTGGTGTATACTGTTATGCTGATACCTGTAGATCATGAATTTGTTACAAATATTCTCTTTGTCTCTTTTCAAGAATTTGAAATTATGGACTAACTCCTCCAATGAAAGTAGGCACACACCTCTTGAGAGAAACATGACTCTGCACATAAAGAGCTGGTTGGTAAACCTGTTTTTTTCTGTAATGGAAGCAGAAGTTTTAGCAGTACTGCAGAGCTCCTGTGCAGACCACACTGAAGTCCACAGCACAGAATTTCAAGCAGCTCTACAGTGCCACCTGGCTTGAAAGATGCGGGCATTTTTGCAGATCTCGAGAGAACTTGGTAACTGAGACTTGGTAACGGTCCAACTCATCCATCCCCAGTGGAGAGTCAGTACACATCCTTCCTAAATGCTACATCTGGCTGCCAGCACAGCACGCCTACAGGCAAAGTGACTTTCCAGCATCTGAACACCAAACCAAGGATGTTGGGTGGGACTGCACAGGCCATGTTGCCTTCCAGGCTAACTTTGAGTCCTCTCCTGCCTTTCTCTGTAGTATTCAGTGCTTGACTGGGGAGGAAAGCAGCTCAAAATCCACAAAGGAAAACTTGGAAATAAGGGGAGCTTCAGGCAGCTGTATGGTTTCTGAACAAATTACAGAGCTACTCTGGACTCAGCCACAGCATTGACTGGCCCAGTATATTCAACAGCAAAGTGCCACAATGCTGGGTAGTGCTATATAAAATGAGCCCAGACTGGACCCATAGACTGGATCTAATATGTTACACGCTCTCAGAAAAACAATCAAACACCCTTCCAAACTGGGAAATAAAACTGAAAGACATGTCAACATGCATTGCCTTTCAGTTGTGTTTAGATACATTTTGATTCAACACGGGCACAGAGAAATGAAAGTAATTCCTAGGAAATGCTATCAGACAATCTCTGTTCTTCATTCTGAAATGGAATAGGAACACAGTTACATTAGACTGTCAGACTTTATGCAGCAGGAGATCCTGCAACTAGACAGATAAGGATTGGCAGAAGTGCTGTCTGTGGGGATTGTAGTACAAAAGGTCTGTGTAGAGTACAATTCATGTGCAATTACATGTGAAATCTCTTGGAGCTGCAAAAAGATAAACACTGCTCTGTGTTAAAACTTGTTATTGCTGTTACTCTGCTACTACCCTACAATTTGGAGATGCTCTCGCTTCTCTTGCGGGCAGCTAGTAGAAATGCAGAAAAAGGATTCTGTACAGTAAGAAATATGGGGCTATGGGAACAAGTCAAACCAAAATTCACCATGTTCAGGTGATGTGTTGTAGATTTCTATTTCAATGAGAGGTATACCCCGAAAACAGTTCCTTTAGTGCCTTTATGGACAGGCAAGAGCATTCTTGGAGGCACAGTGTCTGCCCAGACACTGATCTGCCCGGACAGAGTGAGAATCCTGTCTCCCATCTCATCTATATTCACTGTAAGCCCAGAGGCATAACAGCCTGAAGCTGTATCCTGGATGCCAGGGCAGCAACAGAAGCTAGGCCAGCAGTAGCAGCTGGACTTGCAGCAGCAAGGGTTGCCATTCCTGCACCACCTCCAAGTGAAAACCCAGAGCATGTGCTGTGGTTACCTACTGCTTGTTACACTACTGTGTAAGCCTGTAGAAGGGCCAGAGAGAGCCCATAGCTAAACGACAAATATATTTGCTTAAATAACAAAAGACAGAAATAACAGAAAGCAGCAACCATAGCAGATATACTTGCAATCCATGCCTGCCTTTATTATTTGAAGCACTAGTTCCCAACTAAGATGGTTGCTCTGTGGAGAATAGGAGAATGGAGATGGGTATAAAATAACTCATGTATTTTCTGAAAATTTATAATGAAAAAGTAAAACTAATACTATTGCCAGGAAAATTGAACAAACTGTTCCAGTAAAGAGCAGGGAAACTTGCAAGGGCAAATTCTGTCTACTGAGATTAATGCAGCTGTATCCACTTTCAGTAGTCAAGAATTTGTGCCTTGGTTCTTAAGAATTTATCTGAAAAATTTCCAAGCTACATGAAACCCCCATTCATCTACTTTCAAACAGTGAAGTGTTCACTGCAACCTGTAAAACATATAATCAAGCCCTCTCTTCCTACTATATATCCCCTTCTAAAAAAATGGATTAATAAGGTGGGCCTGCAAGGTTAAAGCATCCTAATTTTAGCACCTTACTGTTCTACATTAATTTACTCAGAGATCCTTACATAAATCAAACTGAGTGTGAACAGAAAATTCACTAGGAGCCAGGCAAAAGGCTTTTAAATTTCTGCTTGCATCTTACTGAACACTTTTGCACTGATTTACACTTATTAGTTTGGACAAATAATTAAGTATACCTTTAAGGGTAGTACTTTAATACTCCAGCCATCTTAAGTTGCTAAAAGCCCAAATTTCTGCAAGTCAGTGTGCTCACAGTAAACTAATAATATTAAAAAGAATTGCCATTTTTAATATTCTTTTGCCTTTTTATCTTCTCTTTTAAGTAGCATTTGTGTGTTCTGCTTTTACCAGTCTAGACTGGAGCTTAACTTTACACTGAAAATTTGCAAAGTTGTGGAAAACATAAATAAAACTTCTGTTGATATATATTATGCAGTATGTAAGTGCTCTACATCACCTTAGTAAATTAATGCATCTTGGACCCTAGAAGTAGGGTTGGAAGGGACCTTGTAGATCTTCAAGTCCGACCCCCTGCCTGGACAGGAGAAAAACTGGGCTCAGATGACTCCAGCCAGGTAGGCATCAAGCCTCTTCTTAAAGACCCCCAGGGTAGGAGCCAGCACCACTTCCCTTGGAAGTTGGTTCCAGATCCTAGCCGCCCTAACTGTGAAGTAGTTCTTACGGATGTCTCATCTAAACCT